CCTTATCTGCTGTAATTCTGGTGTAGGTGGGTATTACTGTAATTAGATGTCAATAGAGACATGCGAATATATGAGACACTGAAATAGCCCCGGTGAGAAGCCAAGCGTCCTCATTTCCACACTTTGATTTCAAACCATGTGGATTTGGAGACTTTGTACATTTTTAGTTCAGATTAAAACCAGTGCCGCCAAAGAAGTGCTTGGAAAGAAACGGGTCTTATGAGTGTGTTTATGCCCGAGGGAAACCGTGCAACAGACTTCAGATACAAGTGTGTCATGAGTTCTGGATCGGGGGTTAAATACTCACTAAATGCTTGACTTAGTGCTCTATTTCTAGCACGTTTAAATTAAATATACATGCACTGAGCTATGAATTCTATAATCAGTCTAATCCATTGCATATGAAGTGTCCTGGGCTTCAGCAGGCCTTCAGATCGACATTAAGAGGAAAATACAGGCTTCTGTGAAGCTTCACTGCCCTCTCGTGCTGCAACAGACCACACACGTTTCACCCGTCGCTCAAACGATTCATGATAATGAAGGTTTACTCTCCTAACGGTGTCATTTAAGTTAGTACAGTATAATAAAGGCTTGGGCAGAAATACAGCGTGTAAATAAAGAGACAAAGCTACTCACTGACAACTTTGGGTTGTCAACTTAAGTTCATTTTCTTATTTGAACCAACTCTTTGATAAAACAGGATATTATATTCAGGATGCACATATACAGGTGCATCTCAAAAAATTAGAATATCGTGAAAAAGTTCATTTTTTTTGTAACATTTCAAAAAGTGAAACTTTCATATATTCTAGATTCATTACATGTAAAGTAAAACATTTCAAAAGTTTTCTGATGATTAGAGCTTACAGCTCATGAAAGTCAAAGATCCAAAACTCAAAAAAGTTTCACTTTTTGAAATGTTACAATTTTTTTTTTTTACTTTTTCACGATATTCAAATTTTTTGAGATGCACCTGTAAAAATGAGACAAACTGAATTCATTTTTCATTCTCTGAGAGAGAGAGAGAGAGAGAGAGAGAGAGAGAGAGAGAGAGAGAGCATTAAAC